GCCGTCTCTATCAGCCCTGACGGCGAGAGCGGCAGGCTGACATCTGGCGGCGGTGGCCTCTGAGACTCGTAGCAAAAGAAAGCCACGCCTCGCCTCGAGGATTCGCTCACCGTGCTATTGTCACGATAGTGGGGATAGAGGCCAGCAAAGATCCTCCTCAGCACGGTAGTGCCACCCGCCAGTCGGCGCAGAAGGCACTCCTTGCCGAGCGCATGACAGCGTACGCTCCGCACATGGAGCAAAAGAATAGGGTGAGCCTCCGCTCGCCTTTGCTTACAATGCAATGCGCCAGCGAGTGCCCCAAGGACCGATCCAGGACACCACGCCACAGCCTGCTGGGTCCTTTACATCCCAACATGGGGCGCGCATCCCGATCAGTGGACAAACAACGGCAATGCAAACATCTGGCGCAGCCCTGACCTATTTCCTGCCAGGGATGCCAACCTCCCGATTTTAAAAACTTAGCCCTCGGTCCCAAGGGCCGACGCTCAAACTTTTCGGGAGGAAAGGTGGCAAGCACGGTGCCCGCCACCCTGGCAGCGAAAGCCAACAAATCACACTTCCTGTCCACCTCCGTACGTTCGTGCACACAGGGTTGGGGATGGAGGAGGAGAGCTTGCTTGGCAAGGGCGTCGGCTTTCAAGTTGCCTATACCAATCCGTTTCTCGTGCGCTGGTAGAGCATCCAGAACAGCGCGCGCACGGTGCGCAGGTGCGTGGTGCACCGACGGGATGGGGAACTTCCCATTGAGCAGGGCACCTCTCCGAAGACCAGCATAACGATGTTTATGAAAAACCTGGTACCCCCGCGTTGCCACACAGATGCGCACCGCATTCATGCAATCGGTGTGGCGGTCTCCGCCGCTGCTCTGAAACATCGGGAGGAGGGCCATGCAAAGGTGCTCCGCAGCTTGGGGGGTCTGGGGGAGGACCGAAAGAACAGTACCTTTGGCGTACGCAATCATAGTGTCGCCCTCTCCCAAGAAAACCCAGGAGTAGGCCGCTCTGGACACCTCCCTAACGGTATGCCGATAGGCCGAGCCGTTCATGACGACATCGCAACCCGAGACGTCCACAGAGCCCCAATTAATCATATCCCCTTCAGGAGAGTACAGGATGGGTTGAGTGGCCGAGGACGGAGGAGGGTAGGAGGCTTCAGGGTGCTCCCACTTTAACTCATCGAAGAACAAAAGGTCCTGACTTTCAAGAGCTTCGTCCAGCCATTCAACAGGAGAGTCATCAGTAACACTTTTACGGGCGGCGACAGTGTCAGGGTGAAGGCACTGCCAAACGCGGTGCCGCACGCTGTCGGGCATCCCGCACTTCGGGCAAAGTCCGTCGCACGAGTATCCAGCGGCCTGAGCCCTCGCTCTGGTCCAAATCCCCTTGCAAAACAGACTCAACGCCAAACACTTCTGCTGAGGGTTGAGTTTCCTTCCCTTGGGGCCCAGCAAGGTTTTCAAGGGATCGACACAAAACCGAGAACCGTCGGCTCCAGGGGTGTCCTGACATAAAACCCGTTCATGTTTTCGTTGGACCGCCAACTGCAACATGTGCGCTAACATAGCGGGCGAGATGTATCCCAAGTGCACCTCTCGACCGTAGCCGTCCTCAAAAGTAAGAAGGGCCACCGACTTCCACCCGATCCTAGCCAACGACAGGTGCATGCGCTGCAGAGGTCCTCGTGACGAGCGCCACGTGACCTTGTCATCAAAGGGAACAGAACGCCACAAATGAGCAATCTCCTTGATATTATACCTAGAGACCGACGGGGTGGTGAGAGCCAGCCACACGATCGACGCCCACTGCAGGGCTGGCGCCACGGCCGGCCTCCACATCGGGTCTCCCAGGATCACTAGACGCGCCTGGAGGGAGCACCCTCGGTGCCTAGGGGGGTGCGACGACAACAGCACACGTCGAGCCACCTGGAGCTCGCCCTGACTCATCCCCACAACCGACGAGCCGAAACTAGCCGCGGGCAACACTCCGCAAGTATAGATCTTCCCATGCGAGATTTTTTGCGGGGAAGGGCCGAGCGATATCGCATCAAAACCTTATGCCTCTTCCTCATGTGGGAAAACCTCTGTTTTCTTTTCCACAGACCATGTTTAGCACCTCGGGTCTGACCTGGTGCGAAATCCGTGCCGAGTGAGACCGCGCTGTTCGTGACCTTACCCGCCAGCTGCCCGAGGTGCCTAGCAATCTTCTGGGCGAGGGTGCGGCTGCTGGCAAAGGTGCTGACCTTGTCGGGCTGAATGCCGACGCGCAGCTCATCCCTAAACAGGACGTACAGGCAAGCAGCCACCTGAGTGATAGTGGCCAGGACCTCTTGTTCAGAGCCCGACGCTGCGACGCTATCATCAACGACGTGCGACGACAAATCGACGCTGGGATTGCCTTCGACAAACTTGTCAAAGGCTTCGATGCTGTAAACTCGAACCATGATATCATTGAAGATATCTCCCGCGGGAAGACCAGACCTGGCGAAATAAGGCTGGGCCCCGTAGTGGGCCCCCAAACGAAGCAAACGGGGGCCCCTCCAATAGTTAAGCGTCGTTTTGACCATGACCTCGTTAATGCCGTAACGTAACGCTCTATCCTTGAGAAGGGCTAAATCAAATGAATCGTAGTACTTCGTCCCATCCCATATTATACCCCCCGTTTCCTGAGCCTCGAAGTGGGCCATCTCGGCCTGGACGGCCTGGTGCCGCACGGCACTCTCAGCACTGCGGCCAGGGCCAAACGCCCGATAGCTGCGAGGGTAGTTCGTGTTGAAATCCACAATCAGAGGTCTCCGTAAACGTTCCCAGACACGGACGAGGCCGGCGCGCAGCAAGATGGGTCGAAGGCCCCCCTTGGGTTTTTCCAAAAGAGGGAAAAGCAGCCAGAACAGTTGTTTGGGGAAGAGGCCCAGGGACTCAATCGCTTGGATTAACGCCCCAAACGTGTCAAGGGCATCGTCCGAAACCAACGCGAGCTGTCTCGGGTGCAGTCCATCGGGGGACTGCAAAGTCAGGTGCGAAAAACTGCTGGACGCGCTTCTAATCTCGGCCGCCGTCGGCCTAGGGAGGTGCGCCCGATCAGGAACACACACCTCGGGCGGCATGTGCGACGTGTGCCAAAACTCGGACAGGGATTTGCCTTCAGCCCCAAGCAGCTCTTGATGGGAGTTAGAAAAACAACCAGGATGATTTTGCACGACGGTCGGGTTCCACCTCTGCTTGAGTTTCGTGAGCCTGCGCATGGCCCTCGCTCCCCCAGAAAGAGCTTTCTCCTGCCATTGATCCCAACTATCCTGCTGAACCTTCGCGACGGCCTTTCGCGCCTCGCCCAGGTCGTCGCCCCAAGACGACAGAAACTCCTGACACTGCTCAATCCAGCTGTCGAGGCCTTCATCGAGCGTAAAAGAACGAGCCAAAGTGCGCGCCTGAGCGAGGGTCGCGTCGAGTCTAACATTCTGCCCCTCACCAGGGCATGGTAACATGAGGAGCTGTTGGATCTGGTGGCTCGCATCCTCAGACAAACGCTGGACCTGGGCTTGGTCCGTGGGATCGGTTTCCTGGGCCGCCCTTCGAAATCGAGCTGGCACCCCAATGGTTTCAGACAAATGTTGGGCCAGCCAGATCCATCCGACGTGCTGCTCACGGAGGCTACAGGCCTTGGGCTTAGCAAAAAATCGGGGCCCACCGAGCTCTCAAGAGGTCCCCGTTGTGTCCTTTGCTTTTAACTTCCACTCCCGTGAAAGCCTCGAGCTCAAGCTCGAGCGTGTTGGAAACATACTTCCAGGCAACAGTGAGAAGTTCCCGCGCCTCGCCGACGGGGCGAGCGAGAGCCGCAGCAACAGCGTCCTCAGCAATGATACGGCTGAGGATCCAGTCCTGGGGTCTTGGGGTCGGCCCGAAAGGCAGCTCCGTCGGGGGTCTTTGATGCGACCGATACATCAAGTGATGGCACCGAACGGCATCGGAACGCAACGCGAAGCACACGGGCCTGTGAGGGCGATAAGTCCAGGACATGTCAGCCTCAACCTTATCACAGGCGCGTGCGAGGCACGTGCTCGCTAAAAAGTAGTCGATAGTGGTGAGGCTTCCTGGGGGCAAGCAGGTCTTCTGCGTTGGCACAAACAGGGCCCCTTCAACGCGACAGGGAACTCCCGTGGAGTCAACCAGATGGGGGTCGAGGTTCCAGTCTCCCCCCACAGCGTTCATATGCTTCCCCGTGAGCCTCTCTCCTAATTGCCTCAGAAGGGAGAGATTGAACGCGCACAGCCCAGTCCCCGACTTAGAGTAGCACGAAAACACGCGCAGGGGCGGCCATCCAGGCAAGTCGACAATCACATGGATGATGCGCCCCTTGGCAACAATCCCAGGAGCATCCGACGGCCATCGCAGGCCAATATGCGCGCGGACGAAAACTCCAACTCCCGCTCGAGGTCTCCCAGATCCACCAGCAGGGAAGGGGGAACGCAACATTTTCCATCCCAAGCTGGCCGCTGAGGCCGCTCTTTCGCCCTCACGGTCCTCGAGCGCCCCGATCTCCTGCGCCGGCAGGACGAGCGCCGATGTCGAGCAAAGCCTCTCACGCAAAGTCGGCCAGCAATTGCCATTGTAGGTCTCGAAGCTTTCGCCCAAGCCAAGCGAGGACGAGTCGAGCGAGTCGGGGGGAGGCGGAAGTGGAGCAGGAACTCCGAATTTAGACATAGGCAAGCCGCAACACCGTGAGAGCAAAGGGCTACCCCACGCGCGGCTTCTTGCACAGCCTGCTACCGAATTTCTCAATGAACTCACGCTTGTCAACCCGTATGGCTGCATTGAAAATCTCCTCGGCCATGTCTTCGTCAAGATCCTCGTCATGCTCGAAACCTGGTGTCGGCTGTTGTTGTGCCTCAGCCGCACCATCTCCGCTGGCGGCCGATGCATCACTAGGAGCCCCATGACCAGGCGCACCAGCATCTTCGGACTTGAAAGGCGATGGTGCCGTTGCCGTAGGTGATGCCTTCGCCTGGGAGGCCGCCAGCAGCTCCGCGAACTTCTTGAACGTGTCGGACTGGAGCATTTCCTTGATCTGCGCTTGCTCACTCGTCGCAGCCAGCACCTCAGGATCGACCTCCAAATCCACGACGGGCATGCCAGGCAGCGTACGAATGAGGTCCCGATTGAGGAGCTCGATCTCGCGGTCCGTAGCAGCAACTTGTGCCCGCATGCCATCGATCTGTTCTTGAGCACTCGCGATGAAGCGTAGCTGCTCCTCGATATGGTGCTCAAGTCTCTGCTTTTTGCCTTTAGCACTTGCCAAGCGATGGCCCGCATGAGTATGCTGAGTGAGCCGGGGCTTGGTCTGATGCAATTCGCGACGTACGGCCTCCAGCTTGATCTCGAGCTCAGCCTTGGCACCTTTGCCCGACTCACCCAGCTTCTCACAGTGCGATATGGCCACCTCGAGCTGTTTGATGTTGTCGCGCAGCTCCTGCTCCTTGGAATCCTTGGGCGGTTCCTTCGCAGGGTGGCTGGCCACAGGGACATGGGGACAGGTTACCTCCTCCTGCCAACTTGTCAAACCTGCGCTGGAGCTCGTCCAGCCTCTTCTGTAGTTCGTCGTCGCGACCACCCCCACCGCCACGAGGTAGACCAGCCCGCTGACGATGCTGCTGGCCGCGCGCATGCAGCTCGGCTGCACGGCGCACCTCGAGCGGTGCCTTCTTCCCGCATCTGCAAATGATCCTGGACGCCCAGTTGGTGTTGCGACCACATGAGCACGCCCAGGTACGCGTCCTTGGCCCAAGGAGGACCTCAGCGCCATCTCCATCGGTCATGAGAGCCCGTAAGCTTGGATGAATGTGTGGGTTGAAATCCCACGAACTGAAGGTTGGAACGGGCTCGCAGCAGCGACTGCCGCTCTGAAGACTGCTGCTGCAAGCTCAGGAATCAGCACCTGAGCCAGAACGGCTCCCCCCTGGGGAGCTCCACCGAAAGCCCCATTGGCGATGGCCGCATGCAGTTCCCCCCCCAGTACGGCGTCACGGTTTCCCATAGGGAGCTCCACCGACGGCTACAACATGCGTCTCCCCCATCCAGTACAGGGTACCGCTCACGCACTCCGTGGTCCCACAAAGAGCTCCACCAAAAGCGGTACCCACAACGCGGTACCCACAACTGCATATGGCCAGGTCCTTCGCCAAGATACTGATGAACGCCCCAACTGTTGCTTAGATCGCTGAAAATATCACGCGCGGGATTCCGTGAAACGTTGTTCAAATCGTGTCTTCGCGCATATGCAACTGTGCATTATTGTGACCAGAAGCGCGTATTGCAGCAAACGCAACAGTTTTCAACACGAAGTAGAATGACGAGCTTACAGAATTGTAATCGTGGCAATGTTAATGCGTCGGTTACATCAACAAGCGTTCCCGACAACATGAAAATCGTCCGAAAGAGCTCCACCGAAAGACCGAGTGCAGGGTCCGCCTGCGATTCCACCCCCGCTTCTGGCGCACTCCTCACACGCTTTGTGGCTCATGAAGAGGAAGCTGCACCGAAGGCCCCAGTAGCAGGGTCCGCATGCGGCACTGCCGCTGCCATCCACACCGAATGTCTCGCTGCTAGAACATGAGATGGCTGGAGATGTGCAATCGTCTCGCGCTGCAGTCGCGCCGCCGCCGGCCTAAGCTAAGCCCGCCATTTCGCGGGAGTTTTTCAAGTGGAATCAGGGTCCGACCGAAGAAATCTATACTCCATTATCCCTCCTCCTGCTCTCTCGGCTCCCGTCCTCGTGTTCCGTGGCGCATTCGTCGTCGTCTCCCAATGTACGATTCGAATCGTGACATGGCGTGCGTGAATGAGGCAATTTGCGTTTGGTCTTCCGTTGTTTTGGAGACACGTTCAGGGCTGCCGCGGGACCCTCAACGTGTTCTTGCGCATTGCAGGGCTCTGTAATCATGTCAAGAGCCTATGTTTTAAATGACGCCCCCCACCCCTCCCCCCTCCCTGAATCCTGATGCCAGTAATTCTTCGCCGAGTAATCATGTTTGAAGATTGCCCCCTGGAAGATATTCCACGGAGACCAGAACGAGGCACTCGATGTAGACACTTCTGAATGTTATGTATATGTGTACATACCTACTTACTTACTCATGCATGTACACACATACACACATACCAACATACCTACATACACACATGCAGGCAGACATACGTACATGCATATATACGCACATATGTACATACGCACAAACCTACGTACGTACGTGTACATACACACATACATACATGCATACATACATACACATACATACATCGGCCCAACGAAAGTTCCTTGAATTGTCGTCAAATCGCTCGCTCGCGGAAGCCGACGGAAGTAAAACGAGGCGAAAGACGGCGGAGGGCCGTCGGCAGGCTTGCCGAAGACAGCGGGGGTGAATGACGCCCCGTCCGAGCCCCCCTAATCCCCGTAGAAGCCTAGCAATGTAGTCTTCTGCCGTGGGCCGGGCGGGACCCCGCCTAACTTCCTTGTAATATAATCATTCAAAAAATCAGCCAAGCTAAAATCCCACCCAATAAGAATGGGGGGGTAAACAACTATCCCGGGTCGTTCATGGATCTCGCCATGCTAGGATCGGGTCGAAGTAAGTTTGGGCCCCGAAGTAGTCGCCTTCTTGGCGTGTCAGGGTCGTTGCGAGGCCATTTTGAGATCATATTTCGGCCATGCTTGGATGGCGCAGCCGTCGCGCGTCCATTCTGGGGCCACCCTGGGCGCGTGTGGATCCATATATTGTTGCCATCGGGCCATCTCGGCGTCACGCGTGTCTTCATTGTCTGGTCCTCTTCGGGTCGGCCTGAGACGGTCCAGAATCCATGGCGGGATCGTGTTGGGGTGGCGTCATCCCAGGGTCGGCTGGACATCATCGCCTTTGGCCTCAAGCCCTCCTGGAACCATTTTGCAGCCATGGGGGCGTCTTGGGATCTCGCGCGCGCGAGCGTTCAGCACGCGCGCGCGCGACAACTCATCTTGCCCATGGGTGTACACACATCTACTTCTTGTTGCGAATATCCAAGGGAACTTGTGTTTGATCCAGGTACATACATACATACATACATACATACATACATACATACATACATACACACAGACATACATACAGACAGGCAGACAGACAGACAGACAGGCAGACAGACAAACAGACAGATATACATACGTACATACATGCGTACATACATGCGTACATACATACACACATACATTCATACATACATACGAGGCAGCATGGCTGTTGGCTCCCAGGGCGGCCCCTCGTTGCGCCATGGGGGCCCCGGGCCCCGGGAGCGCGCTGGGATCGCGCCAGGAAGCTGAACACGCTCCCAGAAGGCGCCAAGAGTGCTCCAAGAGCGGTTCAAGAAGCCTCCAAGACAGCCCAATAATGCTCCAAGACGCCCAACATGGCCTCAAGATGGCGGTCGCGGGGACGTCCCTGGCGGTCTGGTTTGCCACGCCTTCCTTTCGTTTTCTATGTGAGCACTACAGCGCTGGGAATTCCTATTTTAAGATTATCCCCCACATGTATGTGCAACTGGTTTTAAAAATTATTCGCCACGCGCGTTTACAGAGGGTTCCTATCTTTGCTAGGCCAATTTCCCAGCCCTCCTGTGTGTTGGGTTCTCGTTTTGAATCCGCAGCGCCGCGCTCAACCTCCTCACCTCCTCCCTCCTCCCCTTCCTCCCTCCTCCAGCCGACGACCCCGCCTCCCACGGCGCCGAGAGGGCGCGGTCGGTTTCCTGTGGGCCACCGACAATCTCCCCACGATTTCGGCCGGGATCCGCCCTCTTTGGGTCCAGAGAGATCCGCTCACAAACAGCTGGCAGACCGAGCGAGCACGGGCGAGGGTACGAAGGGACGCCAGCGCCGCAGGGCCCAGGGAGGGGGGTGCGGGAGGGGCCACGGCCCAGCCTGCCGCCGACCCGCCAAGTCGCGGGCTTCAACCGCAAGTGACCAACGCCGCACGGCGGGTGTGCCCGCTCCGTGGCATGTGGCCTGGCCGGTGTGGTCCGTGGTGCCGCCGCCGCCCAAGCAGCCCTGCGCCCCTCGTCCTTCAAAGGACAGGGGTTCCAAGGTCAGGTGCACGTCTTGCACGCGTTGTGCTTGGGCGTCCCATCTTCAGACGTGTCGCAATACGCGCATGTGTGGTCTCCTCGTTAGCAACATGGCCCCGCCAAAGATAGGGTCGAGAGGCACGTGTATAAGGGCACGCCGGCCATGGGCACGGCTATGATGAGCCAGCTCAAGGGGATCATCCAATCCCAGCCTGGGACAGAGACGGCTCGAGCGGCCCAACCCTTGTCGGAAGCAACCAAAGTCGAGGCGTCTAAGCGAGGGGCCCCACCCAACGTCACGCAGCAGGTGACGACGGTGACCTCCAAGGTCGCCCACCAGGCCCAGGGCGCATTCGACACGGCAAAAGCTGTGCAGAGGAAGTACACCATGGAGTAGGACAAGTGACTCCAAGACGCTGCTAAGGCGCTCGCAGGGGCTGAGAAGGAGCGCGCGGCGGTGTTCAAGGCTGCGACCCCGACGCAAGCAATGTCGTTATCTCCTGGCCAGGCCGCGGGCATCGATCTCAGCGCCATGCTGGCTCATAATTATTCTTTCTCATGAGAGCATGTTCGCGTTGAACTTGGGGTCGGAGTTTGCTAATTCTGACGGCATAATGGTCACGGCTGGTCGTCATGAAGTTGAGCGGCGCAAGAAGCTTGCCATGGCAGCCCTCATGGATACCATGAAGTCCACATTCGGCGACCTACATGAGAAGATTAAGGGGCATCGTGGCAACCTCGGAGATCAAGGATAATACGTAGCACCCCGCAATTGCGGATAAGAGTGAGGGGGCGGGCGCGGGCGACGCGGGCGTCGTCGAGCCGGCGGACCTCGTGGCCCCCACCTTCCTTGTCGATGGCGCTCTCCTCCACCTCCTCCTCCTCCTCCTTCTCCTCCTCTTCCTCCTCCTTCTCCTCCTCCTCTTCCTCGTCCTCATCGTCATCGTCATCCTCCTCCTCCACCTCGTCCTCCTCCTCCTCCTCCTCTTCTTCCTCGTCCTCCCTCTCCCCCCCTCGTCTTTTCATCATGGTCTTCCCATTGTCGTCCTCCCCCTCATCGGCCTCCATCATCGTCCTCCCATTGTCGTCCATCATCATCATCATCCCCATCCTCCCCTCCTCGTCCTACGTCCTCCTGCTCCTCCTCCCTTTCTCCACGTCGTTCTCCTCGTCCCCTGTTTACTCATTATCAAATATCCTGCTGCAACGTCATCCTGTTTACTGCTCCCCGATAACTGCAACGCAATCCTTTTTTCCACTTTATGCTCCCCGCCTTCTCTGATCAAGGCAATTCGCCAGGGCAAAGTTGCTGGACGGGCTGGCGTGGATGTGCGGGGCGTGAAGAGGTCCTTGCGGGCTCAGACGGCATGCGCGAATCCGCCGCCGCGCTTGTGCGGCATTGGTTTGTTCAGTGAACGTGGTTTAGGTCGCGGGTGGGTCGCGGGCTCTCCACCTCCACCTGGAAGGAATGCAAAAGCAGCCCGCCGCAAGCGCCAAAAAAATTGGTTCGTACACGGAACGAGGTTTGGGTCGCGGGTGGGCCGCGGGTTCTCCACAGGGAACGAATGCAAAGGATGC